AGGATAGGATAGGAAAGGAAAGGAAAGGAAAGGAAAGGAAAGGAAAGGAAAGGAAAGGAAAGGAAAGGAAAGGAAAGGAAAGGAAAGGAAAGGAAGGAAATTGGAGTACTGTAGATAATACTGAGCTAGCAGGATCATATATTAAATGGATCATATATTTTTCATACGTTGGTTGTTTATTCTCTCTGCAGCACCTTTCCTTAATCTGGAGCCCTCCAGAGGTGATGAGACTACAATTCCCGTATTTCCCAGTATCATATAACTTGCCATTCCAAGAACGTGTTAGCAGTTCTCCAACTGATCAATTGATTACGTGCCATCAAGTCAGCATCAACTCTTAGCAACCACATAAATAGACTTTCTCCGGGATGATCTGTTCCAACAGTGCACCCATCACCACTGTAATCAAGCCCATCTACGCTGCTGCTGGTCATCCTCCTCTTTCCTTCCACCTTTCCCAGCATTATGGACTTTTCTAGAGAACTAGGTCTTTGCATAATGTATTCAAAATACAATAATGTAAACTTGGCAATGTGTGCCTTGAGTGAGAACTCTGGATTGATTTGTTCAATAATCCATTTGTTTCTTTTCTTGGTTCTCCATAGCATTCTCAACTTCAATAGCAGTGTCCAAAAGTTTGATAGAGGTCAATTTTGAGTATTCTGAGAATGGTTACCTTTAAAAAAAAAAAATTAGAATGTTATAGCACTTAAAGCTGAGAAAGCAGGCTTGATGGCTTATGAGTACTACCCAACACTTAAGTAGTTGGAAGTGGGATCTCAGGCTTTTGATTTTTGAAGAGTAGCAGAAGCAACGGCCAAATTTTCCTTCCTATTTGCAGGCATTGAAATGGAAGGGTGGGAGATTCTTCTAGCAGGAGTGGGTTTTTTCTTTAAAATGTATTGTCCATGATACTGCCAGAAGATGCAACATCGTCCCTGTCTTAGCAGTTCTTCTGCCATTTTATATCCTACACAATAAATTAGATATAACTGAAGAGAGGGTGGGCAGGTATAATGGCACCCAACACAGAAAAATGGCCCATTTTTTTTAAGGGTAGGGACTAGAATTCTCAGGTTCAGGAAGATATCACTGGAGACCTTTAAGCTCAATTCTTGGGACATTATTAATATTATTTTTGGATAAGCTTAGAACATCTGTGATTCACCAAGCCATCTGGGTCTTGCAACATATCCTAGCTCCCCTGACTTTCCGCTGTTCAACTGGATTCACAGATTATGCAAAGCCATTATGTGGCTTGTTCTGATTTATGTATGAACCTGCTCATTAAGGCAACTGTTACATGCAAATGGGACCATCATGGCTTTTTCAAACCATAATTTAAAAATTCCAGCTACTCAATGTGGTTGTAAAGTTGCTTCCCTGGATTTTGTGTGTGTGTGCAAGAAAGTCAGATTGCCTATGGTGGACCCCAAACTAGATACTGCTAGATTTTCTTTCCCTCTAGGTTTTCAGCCCTATTTCCCTTCAGTTGATGTGGCCATTTTGTTCTTTCAGCCTCACCCTTTTCTTTCCTTTGTCCCATGTTCAGTCTTGCAGCAAGATGCTTGCAGCTTTCCCTTTCTCACACAGGCCCTAAGGAGTAACTGGCACACGTAGCACATTCTTGGTACAGGACAAGCTAATACACAGCATTAGATCCCAAATGCCAATCGCCTGGAGTTGTGTAACAGCAAAGGAAAAGAGAAGGTCTGCCCACTGAGGTCCAACCACAGAAATGGCCCAGAGCCAGATTGGAATAGAAATCCAAACTGCAGATTGAAAGAGCAGCCAGCCAAATGAAGCCACAAGCTTTTGAGAGGCTCCAACTTGTCTTTGTAAGGCTCAAACTGCATTTCCTGATCCACTTCTTGAAAGTATGTTTAAAGTGCCTATTTTAGAAGAAAACGGAATGAAAAGCAACTGTAGAACAATATGGTCCTTGGCAGAGCTGTTCATTGCAAGCCCCATTTTTAGGAACAAATAAAAAGTGGGGTGGAAGACTCTTGATAGGAGTGGGGTCCCAGGTGCTTTTTCTTCAAAATAAAAAAATAGATTCTTTAATTACATTTTTTAAAATGTCAGTAATGCATCATAATGCAGTTTGAACCTCAGTCAGACTAACTTAAAACTTGAATAAAGGCCTCCTGTCAGGTACCGGATTCTTTCAGGCTCATGATTTAAAAATGGAAATAAGTTATTGAAGGAGAACTTTCCTAAGTTATGTGCTCTCATATGATCCTTAATGCTCCACCATAATATTAAGGTGAACACTTTTTCTTTTGAATAGTCAAACTATCTTTCTGAATTCTATAAGGTTTGCTACTTTCAGTGCTACAAGTGGTCCTCACTTTATGACCACTCACTGAGCAACCGTATGAATTTATGACCATGCTGAACAAGTGGTAATTATGACTGATCCTTGTACTTATATAGGTTGCAGCGTCCCAGTCACGTGATCTCCATCTGCGACTGTTTTTGCCAGCTTCCTACAAGCAAAGTCAATGGGAAAGCCAGCAGGAGGTTGAAAATGGCGACCACATGACATCCTTGCTTAATGAACCATGTTGATTTGCTTAACAACAGCACCTGGGAGTGCCGGAATTTCCATCGCTAAGTGGCGTCACATGATGTCATGCTTTACAACTGTGTCACTTAGCGACAGAAATTCTGATCCCAACTACCATTGTTAAGTAAGGACTACCTGTATTATCTTTGAATTGCTGATTTTAAGACCCCCTGCCATTTTTGTGGGGTATTATTACATTGACCATACATCATTTCATAAAGCTGTCCTTTAGATTTTATTTATTTATTTTCTTGGGTTTGCTCTTGAAGTTTCCTTTGTAAATCCAAGTTATAATCATAAACAATGTTTTTTTATCCTTGTGAACCTCTTTTGGATTTGCCTCTTTTTCAGGTTTGTCCTTTATTTTTTCCAAGAAAATAGGGACACTGTAGGTATTATATGCTTCAGCTAAACTAAAGATATGAGAGATTATGTGTAATGCAAACTCAAGGTCATACACCCGGGAAGGCAAACGTTGCAACATCAAAATCTACTTTCCTTTGCCTGTCAAAACCCACGTTCATAATAATCCAAAGCGGATTATTTGATAACACTTTGTACACTTTTGTGAGAAAGGTAATACAATAGTATAAAAGCAATGTTGATAACCATTGTTCTCCACATCGTGCTTACTGGGGAATTCTGAGAGTTGAAGTCTATGCATCTTAAAATTGTCATGGTTCAGAAACACTGATCTAGAGGTTTACACAGAAGCATTATAAATATGGGAGTGACAGCCAATCTTTCATCTCCAACTCTTAGTCTCAGGAGGCTATGAAATGCTACAGTTACACCAGGAGGCAAAATTTAGGGTGGATGCAGATAAACAAGTTGGAAGTTAATCCAAATAAAACAGAAGTACTAGGGGTCAAGGATGCAAACATTTCTGGAAGAGATTGCAGTTCCTCCTTCCTGATTTGCCTTGAAATGGCACATACTGAGATGGTTTACAGCATTATCCTGGGCAGTTCATTTGATTTAACAAAGGGAGAAAATATAAGGCAGGAAGGCATGTGCAAGGTTATCTGTTCCAAAGTCCTGACAGTTCAGGAAACATGATCGGATTTCATGTGGAAATAGAAGATTATAATTAAAAGCTTATTTTGTAAGCCTTATTTACTAAAATGCTATAAGACCAAAAGAAAATGAGTCACAGGGCAGTTTCAGATGAGACTTTTATTCTGCACTTGTTTACCTGGAACACAAATGATTATGCAAAATCCAGATGTTGTCAACTTTTTCTTGTTACCCACTACTGTCCAGCATTTTTGTTTGCAAGTAATCCACCAAGAAACTAAAAGTGAAGTAGTTGCACTTGTTTTGGGGTGGGGGTTAGTCAGGAAGGAGGGAGGGAGGGGGGAAGGAAGGAAGGAACATTCCTTTAAAAAATATACAACTAGATGTTCTTAAACTTCTTCCAATGTCTGCATCACAGGGAAAGAGGTCAAGGATTAACAAGCGGCAATTTCATAAATAACATTGCAGATTAGAGTTCATCTTTGTTCTTGATGCAAGCTGATAAAACAACTTTGGGAAATTTGGCCCCAGTGCTATCTGATGTTAGAAAGAAGCTAGGTCTCTCTTGCTGTGGTGTATTTTGATGGGGGCACAGTGGCAGTTTGTCTTGAGCTTCACCTATATATCGTCTCAGCACCTTCAAAAGTTCTCACAGGCAACACAAGATCTTTCCCTCACTGAAATAAAAAGAGGTTAAACAGAGAGTGAGTGGAAGGTTACACTTAGGAATGAAGATTATGAGGTTGTACCAAAGTCCAAAGGTGGACTTCGAGGAAGGAGTTCTGAAGAGGAAAAAGTGACCACTCTAGATTTTGGGGAATGGTGGCATCAGGCAAGATGCTCATAGTGAAACTTCCTACTATAATGAAATCGCAGGATTTCATTCTAGTTGATTCCTCCCAGTTTGCTAGTTCTCTTTCTTGGGACCAACTAGTGTTAGAGGGAAAGGGCAATATGTGTGAAGGCCACTGTTCCTTCTCTTGATACTGGCTCAGCTGCACACTGCATGAAACCAAGGTTGGTTTGATAAACTACAATGTTAACATTACTTGTAAGACATAAACCATTGTTTATAATTCACAAAAGCTGGATTTATTCAACAAACTAAACAAAAAGCCAAACCACATTTGGGTGATGATAATTATTTTAATTATATCCTGTTTTTCAGCTCATTGGGCATTCAAAGTCAGCTTAGGGTAATGTGTTAATACAGCTACTGGCTTCTTACAAATGAGAGATAGCAATAATGAGGAGGATGTAACTTAGGGACAGAGCTTGCTACTTTGCTAGGCTGAGCGTCTAGAAGTGAACAATATCAGCCCTTAACATTGGCCATGATAAGGTAGCATGACATATATGCATGGACAATATGCTCCTTATGCACAGGGCAGCAGGAAATCATGTAAGCGAATAAACCTTTAATCAACTGAGAGTAACAGAGAAGCAGGTTCATATCAAGCCATTTTGCAGAGATGGCATCTTGACTCCATTCAGAAGTTGACCAGTTCTAATTGTGACAATACTGGTAAAGTATCATTCTGTCCATTACCAGCAACAAGCTAGTTTAAGAATCCTTCCATGTGACCTACAGAGCTCTGTCCTCCAACAGTAAAGAACGGCTTTGAGGGCTTTAAAGGAACAGCTTCTCCGGCAGCTGTTGCCCGAAGCAATCGATGCATTTTGCTTAATGGGAGGACTTGAACTGAAAAAGAAATATCTTGACTCTGGCAGAGGAGCTCTATAAAAAATAGAGAAGGAGGAGGGCATGCAAGCAAGCAAGCTTTTGCAGCAAGGAAGAAAAGTAGGGAGTTTTTTCAGCAGCTTTGCACATGGAAGAGAATCCAGGAATCAGAACTTTCAATTCCATACCAATATCTTACTTGATAGTGTGTTCATCCTATAGTAACCCATAAGCAGATACACTTTTAAAAAGCTGAGCCTATGTTACTGACATGTTAATAAAACAGAAGTATTAGTATTAGTACTACTAGTAGTTGTTATTCTTATTCTTATTTAAATGTATATGCTGCTGACTCCTTCCAACTCAGGACAGCCTACAACAACATATGGTAAAAAACATTCACAAGAGAAAAAATAATTGTCAAACTCCGTCTACATCATAAAAACACAAAATGAATAACTAAATAAGGCTAATAAAAACAGTTCTCCAATAGTGATAAATCATTCCCAAAGGCCACCATGGTATAAAACATCAATGGTAGAACGTTAACCTCCAAACCCATCAGCATAATAACCATATCAATCCAATGAATAAATAAAATTCATAATTAAAACAATTCACCAATGGTTTAAAAAATCATTACAAAACACCCTCTGGAAGAGTTCATTTTTGGCCATAACCAAGAGGGCCAGTACCGGTAGTCTTCGTTTAACAGCACTAATTGGGACTGAAAACTCCGTTGTTAAGCAAGATGGTTGTAAGTCAAAAAATTACATGACCATGCCGCTTAAGCAATGGCAGTTCCGGCAGTCCCAGTTGCCATCATTAAACAAGGATCACGTGGGCCATTAAATGAGGACCTCATGTAACCACAACTTCCAGCTTCCTGCTGGCTTCTCCGGTGTCTTTGCTTGTAGGAAGCTGGCAGGGAAGGTCACAAATCGCAATTACATGACTGTGGGGACACTGCAGTGGCCATAAGTATGAGGTCCAGTTGTAACTACCATTCATTCAGCACCATCATAAGTTCAAACGGTAGTTGAATGAGTGGTCATTAAATGAGAACTACCTGTATAGCTTTGAGGGTGAGGTGTGTATTTGTGTGTGTGCACACAGAGTATCTGTTAGTGCCTTCTTAAAGAAACAGTGTCATTTCTTGGACTCACAATGGAGCTGTGTGATCCCCAGAAAATAAGACTGAGGAAAGGAGACACGGACATGGTAGATCAACTGCTTTGGAGAAGGAACAGACATGCTGCTGGAGCTCTATCTGAAATATGCATTTTCCTGGGATAGGGCAACTATTGTGAAAGACAATTTCTTTAGGAGGTGCTGACAGGTGTGGCCTGCTCCAAAGCAGTTGCTCCACCCTGTCAGTGTCTCTCCCTCAACCATATTTTTGGAGATCATGTTTTCTGTCTGGATCCAAAGCACTGCACACCCCTACTCTTTATACTATATGATCCAAATACTTCAATGTCCAGTATTTCCTTCATGCTGGTTATTCACTTTTGTATTCAGTCCAAATTCATTCAACACCCATTACTCTTGGCCCTATCACTTCTTGTTCTACCATGCACATTCGAAAATACTCTACTCCCACTGCATTGCCAATTCTAACTTCCAGGCAGAAGCCCCCTCTTATTCATAGCCATCTTGGCTTCTTTCAACAAATATGCCTTGCTCACAATAGACCACAAACTACCCACCACTTTTATACCAGCATCTGTCTTAAAATTTCTCCATTGGTTTTCCATCTTTAGTAAGCGTTCTATTAAGGTACACAAATTCATCTACTTGCTCTAGTTTTTTTTAATCTCTGCTACCCATCATGGGTTTGGTCAATCAAGACTTTCACATAATGTTTTTTACTAAGAGAGAAAGTCTATATTAGGGTTACCAGCCTCAGGTGTACCTGTACCACATGCAGCATTTCCTGCTAATGGTAAGGACAGTAATGGTCAGTTTAGGCACATGTTGGTCAGGATGCCTGATGTGCACCCAAAATTACTCCAAGCATGCTATTTTATGCAAGTTACAATCTAGAGCAGTGTTCCTCAACCTTGGCAGTCCACCCACTGTTGGACACATCTTATCAACTAGGAGGTATATGCAGCGTACTGACTTA